CATTATTGTTGCATGATATGATAAAGAGAAATGTTTTAAGTAGAAGCATCTTAGTTAAGTGTAAGTGAAAAGATGATTTAAAATTTCTTTTGAAAGTAATTTCCCAGGGCTGGGGATTTAGCTCAGTGGTTTGGTGGCCTGCCTTGCAAGCACAAGGACCCGAGTTCAATCCCCGGTACAAGAAAAAAAAAAAAAAAGGAAGTAATTTCCCTATCTAATAAGTAATGCCATTATTTTATTTACATAAATTAAATCCTTAGTATATTAATTATGCAAGAAAAAGCACAATTGGCCAATAACATAAGACATATTTTAGCACCAAATATATTCTAAAATGTAGATTTGAAATTAAATTCACGTTACAGAATCAAAACAAAAATAGCTTTATGACATTTTTTGGAATTTTTGATTTCTGAATGTATAATTCAACTGGTACTCTGTTTTTAAATGATGGAAAACAGGCTAAGATTTCAGGCAAGTACTTCTTAGAAAAATAATGAGTAGCCTTAATTCCTCAAGATTAAAATGTTGAATTGCACAAAAATCAATACTATAAACTGTATTTTTAGCATCAGCTTTTGAAGAATAAAATTTCCATTAGAAAACCAGAATGTGAGAATTTGGTAAAGATCATTCTGAAGCTAATTCAGAGGAATTATCAAATTTGAATTCATTACTAGCTTGTGATTTCTTTCAGAGGCTTCATGTTGTTAGACAATGGTTCTATGTATATAATTTAAACAGTGTGTTACTACACAAAAGGAAAAGAACCATGTAGGATGGTGGACCTGACAGAATACCCAGGGTTGCTGGGGGTGCGCAAGGACCTGAGCAGAGGAGAGAATGACCGTGTTCAGCACAGGGTCAGTGACCCTGGGCCTTGTTACTCTGTAGACGCTGAGGGGCTCTCATACTCTTCTACTTTCCAGTGTGTGTGTGGGGGGGGTATGTAAATCAATACTTATTTTAAAGTAGAAATAGAAAGAAAAAGCTACACTATTACATGAAATCCCTAGACTGCCTATGTGGACACCAGAGGTCCTAAGCTACCAGCTGAAACATTTAACTTTCTTGACATTTACCATTTTCATGGTCTTTTCCATCTATCCACTGTAATATAAAACAAAAAACTCCCCAGTCAGACATGCTTTTCCCAATACATACCCCCACCACTAGTCCTGCTCTTGCTTTCTGTTTTCCCTTATTAGCCAAATGCCATGAAAAAGTGATTTCAACTTGCTACTTCAGATTTCAACTCATACTTTGCAATCCACTCTAATCTGGTGTCTGCACCCACTCTTCAACTAAAACTGCTTTCACTAATGTAACCAGTGATGTGCCTGTCACCAGGCCCAACGGATACTTTTGAGCCTTGTTTAATCACTCAGCAGCATCTGACTGATCACTTCCTCTTTCCTAACGCAGCTTCATCCTTTGGCTTATGTGACAACAGGGTTTTTCGGTGTCTACTTATGTCTCAGGTTGCTTTTTCTCAAGCTCTTCTTCTAGCTTTACCTTTAAAAATGTTGGTGCTCTTTAAGATCAAGTTCTTTCGTGTGATCTCATTTTATCTCCAGCCCACACATCTCTCCTGAATTTAGCCCCTTATGTCCATTTGCTTATTCAACTAATCCAGTGCATTTGAATATTAAATTCAACATGGCCGAGGTGTAACGCTTGGTCCCATCCCATCCCAGGTGATCTCAACCACAGACCTGCTTCTTTGGAATGTTTTCTAGTTCTCAATAACTAACGCTGCGAGGCACTCACTGCTCATGCCGGAAACATGCTGCCATCCATGATGTGTGCTACCCAACACCAGCAGCCAATCCATGAAGTCCTGTTGATGCTACCTCCCACGTGATTTGCCAACTAGTTCGCTTCTCTTTCTAACCATTATTATCACTTCAGCACAAGCCAACAACACCACCTAACTGGCCTTGGGTAAACACCATGGCTCTGCTCCCGTTTATTATCTACTCTGGGGTATTTTTAAAATTCAATTGCATCACATCATTAGGCTCTGTTTTTTTTAAAAAAAATTTTTTTATTTCTTATCATTGGTAACAGGATAAAATTAAAGATCTGTAATAAATGCCTGTAGGTCTGGCCCTTGCCTCCCTCTCACGCCTCTCTCTCCCTTGTTCTTTATGTTAAACACACAATTATTCATCTTCCTCAAAAACTACTATGCTTTTCTACCTCAGAACCTTTCCTTTTAAGGTTTTCCTTCCTCTACTAGAGGAGCTGGCAAACTTTTCTAGGGGTAGGGCAGAGAGTAAACACATTAGGCTTTGCAGACAAAGAGGCCACAGCCAGTGACTTAACTATTCAACCCTGACACTGTGGCATAAAAGTAGCCATGAATGAGAACAACTATGTTCTTAGGCCATAAAAAATGGGCTGTCCGCCGAGGCACAGTTTCTCAATTCCTGCTCTAGAAGGCCAATAGTCCCCACACCATCACTTACAGATTTAAGTGTTACTTTCTCTCTGAAAGTTTCCCTAATCAGGACAAGTCCCCTTATTAGATGTGCTTGTACCACAAAGTATATTTCTTTTTTATAGAACTGGTCATAATTGTAATTAATCAGACACTGATGAAATTCTTTTGCCAATATCTCTCTTCCCTATAAGGATGTAAGCTCCATCAGTGTGGGAACCATAGGAGCTCCTTTCGCTATTTTATTACTACCACATGGTAAAGAACAGGACACATAGCAGTAGTCAATAAATATTTGTTGAAGGAGTGAATCATGAATTTGCACTTTCACCTTCAGTTGGCAGGTTTATCTTTCCAAGCCTTAGTCCTTCATTTGGAAATGGACCCAATACTGTAATAACAGTTACTTTCCAGACTTGATTCAAGGTACATAATGCAGATGTACTTTTTTGCCAAGTCTAATGCACTACAACAACATGGAAAGAAACAGAAGCCAGGCACGGTGGCAATGCCTGTCATTCTAGCTCTCAGGGAGTCTGAGACAGGAGAGCAGCAAGTTTGAGTTCTGCCTGGTCAACTTGTAGTGACCCTGTCTCAAGATTAAAAAAAATTAAAAAGGGCTGTGGAGCTAGCTCAGGGGTAGAGTGCCCTGAGTTCAAGCTGCATATAGGATGGGCAAAGCGTTGGATGTATAGGACAGGAGCAAACTAGGCCCTTGTTCAAAATCTTCTCTCTTGTTTTCTTGGCACTCTAACTAAGAATGATCTTTCTTTTTTCAAAGGGCCAAAACCACAAAACCAAACAAAGAAGACTATCGTGGAGACCATGTCTGGCCTGCAAATTCTAAAATACTTACTTTCTCGACTTAAAAAAAAAAATTTGCTGAACCCTGACCCTAAAACTGTTGCTGAATTTAAGTAAATATTTTAACAAGTGAATGAATGCTATAATATTATAGTAACTAAAAAACTACTATGTTCTGCTTTTTATCTATTCAATAAAGTAATTAAAATTATAAATATACAGTACTCTCCAGCCCTCTAATGCTGTTTATTTTAAATTAAAAGAATGAAAGGAGTCTACACACATTTCAGCTTTCCCTCAGTTATATCAGTAACTGTTTCCGATGCAGGAGGCTGGAAATAGAATGGAGATGGGATGGTGGAGCCACCTCCACTGGAAGACTGGTTGTTGCTGCAGTAACTCGATTTCTGTGCGGAAATCTTAGTCTACAGAAAGCAATTCACTGTTGGGTATAGAATACTGGGATCTTTATTCCTTGAGCATCCATTATCATGGAGACATTAGAAGTGGCACATCCACACACAAAAAATTAAAGGCTCTGTTAACTACCAAAAAGAAATCCCACAACACTGGACCAGAAGAAAACTTTGAAGTCAAAAGACCAGGATTCAAGCTTGAATTTTTACCATTCATTCCCTCTGCAACTTTGAGCACACTACGAATCTCTCGTTGAATTTTTTAAATATAGAGAAACAAGTAATAGTTGCTAATGACATTTACTAGGTGGCTATTGTTTAGGAAATGATATTTAGCAGGAGCCTTTACTTGACCTTTATATAAAAATGAGCATTATCAGCACCAATATATGAGTGAAGAAACATGCTCAGGGAGGCTGGGTGACTTGCTCAAAGGAACACCACGAGAGAGGGGTGCAGGGTTCGGAGTCCATTCTTGACTTTAGTAACCTCTGATGAATTATTTAGTCTCTTTAGACCCATTTTATGTCCTATCTTACACAAAGCGTGTAAAACCTAATTCACAGAAGAAAAAAAGTTGAAATTCTATACTACAGTTTGCCAACCTACACCTTAAAAGTAGATGGTTTTCCTTCCCTAGCCCATGTTAAATCTAATTCTATGTCTTTAATAAAAATGGAATGTGTTCTCTCTGCATACAAGAACAACCTACAATGAGGAAGCATAATCACAAAAACATTAGATTTTGAGCATATTCCTGGAGTACCATAATCATCCTAATTTCTACTTATTCTGCACACTCTGTGGATCAAGCACAGTCAACATATGACACATCAGCTGATCAGTAGAGCTTTGTTACCTCTCCTTCATTGTCTCATGTACTCTCCCATGCTGGACACACTGTTCCTCCAGTTCATTATTTCTCCTCTGTAACTTCTCCAGTTTATGATGTGTATATATTTTTTCTTGACTCAGCAGAGCTATTTCGGATCTAGAAAGGTTAAAACAGAGAAATAATGGATATTAAAAGTTCTTATAACTAGAACATATTTTTATTGTATAACTCTATCTTAAATGTCAGCATACTAAAATTATTTTATATAAAAGAAAATATTCAGAAACTTCAAGGTGCCCAGTAGGGATTCAAGTGTTAGACAAAAAAATACACACAAGAACCCCCCGCCCAAAAAAAACATATTCTGTCAGAAAATGCTTTCTCTAAGGAACAATTCAAAAATTATAATGATCAACTATTTTTAAAAAGACCATCACTTACTGAACAAATATTTACTGAGTGCTTACTATAGGCCAGCCACCAAGCTGTTAAAGAAGCAGTCCCAGGCCTAATTTCTATAACAGAGTTTCTTTTAGTTAACATAGCCAATTTAATGGCATATGGTTGAATATCAAATAGTTCTGTGATAGTTAATTTTATGTGTCAACTTGGCTGGGCCACAGTGCCCAGATATTTGGCCAAACACTATTCTGGATGTTTCTGTGAAGGTGTTTTGTGGATGAGATTAACATTTAAATTAGTGGATTTGAGTAAAGCAGATTCTACTCCACAGTGTGGACAGGCCTCCTTCAGTCAGTTGAAGGTCTGAATAGAACAAGGGCCAACCTCCCGTGAACAGTGAGGGTCCCTGCCAGCAGACTGCTTTTACCCTTAAACCACAACTCCTCCTGGGCCCCTCAGGCTTCCCAAGGGTCCACAATTGCAGACACCAACCTCTTAAAATGATTCTTTTTCTTATTTTCCCCTTTTCTTCCCTTATTTCTTCCTTCCTCCTTCCCTCCCTCCCTTCCTTCCTTTCTTTTTCTTTTCTTTTTCTCTTCTTTCTCTCTAAGTATTGAATGATCTAGGTCCAGGTCAATCTAAGTCTAAATCAATCAATCGATCGATAGATCACTGTTGTTTCTGTTTCCCTGGTTAACCCTGGTCAATATAAGCTCTGAAAGGCCTGAAAATGAAAAACAGAACCCTTTTGTCCTGTGACCCCTCAATCAAGCTAAGCAGTGACAAATAGTATAAATTTTTAAAAGTTATTTTTTCTGACATTTACTTCCATATTTCTAATTTTAGTATATGTGTTGCTGAAGCGAGCACAATTTCCATATTTCTAGATATGTTCAGACAACTAACTCTTATTCCATTAATGATGAGATTTTTGCTGACTTATTATGACAGTTAAAGATTAATTTCTTTTACATGCCTCCCTCCTTTTTTGCCCAGCTCTCAGTATAATTACCAGTATTTCAGATGAGGTTCAATTAATGTATTTACACTATCAAAACTACTTAAATATTGATCCTTGCTATCCTAGTAGTATATTTGCACTGTGTACATTAATTTTCTCCAAATTAGTGGGTGGGTGATTACGAAGCCATCTTTTCTGCGATGGGAGACTAGCCGAGCATCACCATCTTTCTTCTCACTGTGGTCATTCTGCTCTTGGGTACAACCTGGACTGTCTGTGGCCTCGGAGGTGGGTGGAAGTAGAGAGTGAGAATCTCACCTTTCAGAATGCAGGCTTTCTCTTAATCCCTCTATTCTACCTTCTGCATTCCTGGTGTAGCCAGGGGTCTCTGGCTTAACCTCTTCAGAGAGAAAGGCCCTAGGTCTTCTGTGTGGAGAAGGAACAGTCATCTGGCTGCAAGGCGTGGAGATGGAGTCTGTAATTTTGGTTTCTGCCCTATGTTCTACTCTTCTGTCTTCTCAGTATATTTGGAATTGAGAGCAGTTTGTTTTGCCTATACATACGCCCTATGTAGACACAAGATTCACCTTTCTCCACTCTGCTGAGCCAGGTACTTCCCCCAAGGTTTTCTGTCTTCACATGTATTTTATTTGGGGTCACAGATACCTTTTCTGGTGGTGGCTGATGTTCTTTGGGGCAGATGACAAAGCAAGTCTCAAAATTAGGAGATCAGAAAGATATCTAAGAAAAATTGTATCCTTGTCATTTTAAAAATTAAGCTCTGAATTGTTGCTCACTGCCACCATCTCCTCATGCCTGACTGCCTCAACAATTAGAAAGGAAGATTTAAAATTCTTCTATATTATCAATAGTTTCCAGGTTAATGATTATCTTATTTCCTAAAGTTTACAGACCCTTTATGTAAAACTGATATCCTCCAAAGGAAGGATTTCTCTTTTCAGTACTATCCTTCCTATTTTTTTTTAATCAATAAAGGCTCTGGATTTGCTAAAGGAACTCATACCCGAAAACCAAGCTACTCAGAGGAATGGATCACTCTCTTGATTTTAATTCATTCCTCACTTTGTTTTCATCTTTTTCAAGTGTCATCCCAAAGGAAGTTTGTGCAGGTTAATATCTTTCAGTTCTCAATATGTCAGCACATTTTTTGAAACTACCTCTAGCCTTTGTGCATACATTAGCTTATAATTTATTCTCTTGGATTGTGCTCTAAGCTTCATCTTTCTTAGAGATTGTAAGTGAGAACATGGCCTGTTTTATTTTCAAGTTTAGATCAAGTACTCATTAACATTTGCTTCTCTTAATAAGAATGTACTCTTATTTGAAATATCCTGATGGTTAATAATTTGTTTCTCCTTTCAAAGTCACATATAATGTAAAAAACTTAGTAGTAGTTATAAGATTTTAAGTTAGTACTCCTTCCAAAATTATTATCTCTTATTATATTACACAGTAAAATAAATTCCAAAAGAAGACAAAAATACCTTTATGCTAGATAAGAAAAAAACACAGAACATTTATTTGTTGTCAGGAACTTTCCAAGCAAAAATGTATTTTTTAAAGGAAAAATATCACAAAAGAAAAAAGATTCTACAATATGAAAATATAAAATTTTTATATATAAAAATCTTATACAGTATTTGAAAAAAGATTTGTATGAGGATATTCATTGTAGCACTGTTTCTAGAAAAAAAGCTTGCTTTGCAACTCAATATCTGGAAAGATAACTCAGAAATCTATCAATAGGAAACTGATTATCTTCTATAATAAGAGATCAAGATAGTATTATGAGTATGAGGCTATTTACAAGTGTAACTTATTGCCTTAAAGATACAGCATTGTACAGCAAGGAAAAACTTTAAAAATTAGCATGTATAATATAACTTCATTTTATAACTTAAATATCTTTTAACATTCATACCAAATATTAATATCAATTATTTCTGGATAGTAGGATTACAAGTATTTGTAATTTTCTTTATCCATTCTTTTTCACATTTTAGGAATTTTTACAATGGACATATTTTTAAAGTTATTTTTATTTTTTAAAATGTTTAATAAAACAAAAAATGTAAATACTGACAGCAGAGGAAGTTGGTTGAAATGGGATAGATAAGAATTCTCTGTACATTTACTTAACTTTGCTGTGAACATAAAACTCTTCTAAAATTAAAGGTATTATTTTAAGAATATAGATAATTAGGAAAATGTTTACAAAAAATAAGACAAAAATGACAAGCATCATTAAACTGCTAATGCCACTTCAAAAGATTACAATTCAGAAAAGTACAAAAGCCATGAAAAATATTTGCAGAAGAAGAAACAGAAGGGTTCAATAAATATTTGTAAAATATTGTTTCAATATCATTCAAAGAAAAAAATATTATTCAAAGAAATGCATCCTAAAACCAAATTATATTGTCAGATATTTTTTGCATGTTAACTCTATAACAACTAGTGAAATCCATCCTTTACTTTATTGAGCTCAATTAAGTGAGAAGATAATTGTTCATTTCCTTTTCTCTGTGACGTAAATATGAAGTTTAATGATTTACCTAAGGTCACCCAAATAGCGATTAGCTAGGCTTTCCAACTATAAAGCTGTGGGTTCACCTACTGCGCAATATTGTTTCTCGCTTGTTTGTAAATCTCTTGCTTTTTAATGTCACTAAGGACACAAGCACATACATAGGGACTAGAACTTAGTATAATACTTAACTAACACACAGTAATACCATTACAAGGATTCATAATCTTTGGACCAGCAGTTCTTTTTTAGATTTCTCTACTGAGAGAAATAACAAAAATTCAGACTTCTGTACAGTGATAGTTATATTGTTCATAAAATTTAAAAATTGGAAACTTCTTAAATGTCTAATGAATTATTATGCATACAGATGATTCAATTAAATTTTGTTTCCAGAGTGTTTATTGATGTAGAAAAATGTTCATTAATGAGATATTAAGTAAAAAGCAGATGCAAGACTCTACTTATCATAATCTCAGTCATAATATAAATGTCTGTGTACATAATACATTTACATACATATGGAAGATGAGTCAAAGGAAATATGTTAAAAGGTAGCAATAGTCATCTCTGGATGGTAATGCCACAGGAATTTTTTCCTTAATTCTTTTTTGCATTTTCCAAATTCTCAACCTTGAAGATGTCTTACATAATCAAAAAATATAAATGCTATTTGTAAAGTGCACACTGCTATCAAGTGTTACTGTAACAATCTTTTTCTGCTTTGCATTATTTAAAATTTATAGTGGTAATTTTCCTGCTAACTCCCATTTGTCCACTAAAAATTGGGTATATGTGTGTGTACATTTTCCTTTACCTCTACAGAGCTCAAAATACAGTCATGGAATAATTGATTTGCAAAGTTCAAAAAATAAACTTACAAGTTTCTATGTTAGTTTTGAGATATATTTGTGGCATGATTGTCCTAGCTTCATATAAAAGGATAATTGACTCTAATCCATTTTCATAGAAAATGTAGCTATTTTCTGGCTTTACAGAAGCATGGATTTTTCCTTGGATTTTTATGTACCAGTTACATTGTGTAATTGCATTTGCATGAAATAGAAGATACTTTACTATAATTCAGATTACAATGATAATTGCTTTTAAAAGGAAAATATGACACCTTAATTTTTAATTCTTTTAGATTCTGGTTTGACTTTTGGTAACAATTAACAGAAGGCCATAATCCTCCTCTTACAGAATATAATTTTTGTAGTATCCCAACCTAATATCATCTAAACATGCAGGGGAAAAAATATAGTTCAACCGGGTGTGTGTTCTTTACTTCAATTAAACTCACACAGTTGGATACCTACTGTTGCCAAAACAGTAATATAATTTATACATTATAGTCCACACAGTAAAACTACACTAAAAGTCATTTAACAATATTTATAACACCATAAAATACAGTGTTAAAATATATGAACTGCAATATGTACCAAAATTATAAAATTTGTTTCTCATCATCAGTGATTAAAACCAGGATCATTGCTCTAGCTTCAATACTCACAACCCTGGTGACAGATTAGAATTCAAATCTTAATGATCAATTTACAATTAACAAGATAGAAGTGAAACAAATTAAACCAACCATTATATATAACGAGACCCCATGGACTCCCATTGTTCCTCTTAATTACAAAACGCAAATCACAAATACACAATGGGCAGTGTTAGACATCAATCCACAAGCCTAGCAACCCAGAAAGTGACAATGACGGAAAAGAAAGAAGAGAAGCAAAACCACGTAGACCTCGGTTCTGTGCTCTTTCCTGTTCTTTCAGTGCGCAAGTGGAGAAAGACTAAGACCTAGCACATACTTGATCTCCAGTACACAGGGTCTCCACTCCAACGCTGGCAGAGACTCACTCTCGGCCAGTGCCCAACCTTTCGAGCTCTTCCCAGGCCAGGTTTTAGATCGCACTGCAAATCACACTGCTATTTTACTGCTGATTCATCTTAGTGCCCGGGGAGAGGGAACATTTCCTTCAGTTTGATAAAGAAAAATCACAGTTGTGTGGAAGATATTTAAATATCTCTATTTACCTCCCTCAGAAACAGCCTCCTAACTGCAATAAGCTTTCAGAGTACTGGGGAATACAGACGAAGGGTGAGCTGAAGTTTATCTGTGCTTCAACTAAAATCAGCCAGAATGTCTGCCTGGTGCCAATTAAAAGCAAAATGGAATTAATTCTCTTGCCTGATGGTCAAAAACAAGCTGTAAAAATGCACAGAATCGGCATTTCATTTTGGGTTTTAAAATGGCACATGCCTGCCATTCACAAAGCCTGGGGTTGCAGACACCACTCCACGCACGGCATGGAGTCACGGTGGCAGCGAGAGAGCGGTGCTAATCGCTATGGAGGCTTCCAGAGAACAGAAGCGATCCTCACTGTCACAATGCGACTTACGGTCTCCGTGGGGAGAAAACACGTACCACAGACACACACAGAGGTACCACTTCACAACGTTTTCACAGAGCAGCCTAGCAGGAGGGTGGGCAGAGAGGACGAGGATCTGGGCATGGTGAGCCGAGCCCAGGCTGTCAGCTTCCCTAGTGATTCTGCATGGGCTCTAGTCAAGTGACTGGATCTGTGCAGAAAAAAGCTGATTTTTAAATAGTAGGAGTCCATTTGGTTAGTGTGGCACTTTGAATAATATAAAAGCCTTAAAGAAATGTTGCTACTAGGGAAAGGCAAGGAACAAATATGTTTTAAATTACTGATCAATAAAAAACAAATACACCTGCTTTCAGGGAAAATTTTACTGTGGCACTCTGAGGAAAATCTGGACCATGGTTACCATATGGATTAGGTACTTATTTTGGAGACTGAGTTGCCACAATGACCAAACTTTAGAACATTTTCCACAGTTCAAAGCAGAAGGGAAATTATTTATCCTAAAAGTTTGGTATAGGGAATGCGGAACCACATTCTGGGAGGGCTTCTACAGGGCTTATTGATGTTATAGTTTTTATTTAAAAAGAAACACTCTAAGCCCTTTGAGTTTTATAGGTGGTTTCAAAGCAAATGGTAATATCAAAGTAGAATGCTACATTTGGCATGAACAAGTTGCTGAAAAATGTTATATTAGGAAGCCAGGGAGAAACAAGTCTAAATCAATAAAAGATTAAAAGCAAACAACCCTAAAAATCACAGTTTACCCTACCTACTCCTCTTCTGTGAGGCACACAAAGTGTACTTTTGTAAACTTTAGGGGATCTTAAAAGATTTTAAAATAGTAATTGATCAAGTGTTTACTACTCTCCAGGCCTTAGTTTCAAATCAAGCTGTAGTTATAATAGGTGCTAATTTTAATTCGTCAGATTTCTCAAGCAAAATGCCAGAGCAAGACCTGCACTATAACCAGATCCACCTCTTCCTGATGCTGCTCTACCCTTCAAAAGGTTTTCACTGTAATACAGACTTTATGTTTATCAGGAAAAGGCAGTAGAAGTCTGGTGAAGAGTTTGCCAAATGATCAGTCAAAACCCTTAAAGACACATCACCAACGACAGCAACAGCAGCTAGTGTGTGTTACTACAGGTCAAGCGCCATTCCAGCTGCTTCACACAGTGGACTTCCATATTTGTGTGCTCTGAATCCATTTTTAAAAAGAGTTGACCAACTGCAGACTTTGGGATCCATGAGGGTTCTGAGCCAAACACCACAGATACCGAGCAAGACTGGTACGTGCAAGTATGGATGTTCTACATACACAGATCTCATTCCCACCACATTCCTGCAATATGGTTTTAGAAACAATTCTACAGAGGGAGAAACAGGTTTGGGGAGATGAGGCAATGTACCCCAGGTTACACAGTTAAGTGGCAAACCAAGTTTCAAACACAGTTCTTTTTGAATTACAAAATGTTTGTTCCTACACATTGCTATCACAATTAAGGAACAGGTTGACAGAAGACACAAGTCTGTTTGTTTCATTCATTCATTCCTCACTCAATAAATATGTATTGAATGCCATCTATGTCAGATATAAAGTAACACAACATTCAATTCATAAAGTTGTGGTCAGGAGTTGGAGGAAGCATAACAAGAAAAGCTGGAGGGATGCTGATGTTGAGGTGTACAGAACAAGTTCTGGAGGAGGATCTGGAGGAGGCTAGAGCTATAGGAGGGAAAGCGGGCCCAGCAGCATGCGGTACAGGTCAACCTTGGTTCTCAGGTTAGCTATTGTATGCCACATGAGCTGGCTTCAGACAAATTTAAGGTTACTGTTTTCCTTCCTAACAGTTCTCAGCATTGACACTGTGGCCTGAGTTCTCTATTCTCCCTTTCCCTCTTTTCTTCCTCCCTCCCTTCATCTTCCTCCTCCTCCTCCTTCTCCTCCGTCTTCCTTTTATTTCTCCTTCTCCCTCTCCTTGTCTTTCTTCTTCTTTTCTCTCCCCCATCTGTCTTCTCTCTTCTGTTCAAGAGAAGGGATCTCACCATGTTGCTCAGGCTGGCCTCAAATTCCTGGACCTAAGTGGTCCTCCTGCGTCATCCTCCTGAATAGCTGAGGCCACAATGTATGCCACCCTGTCTGGCCAGCCTGAATTTTTCATAGTAGTAGATATAAAATACTGCAATTATTGTAAGAAAGACTGTTGACATGAGAATCACAAAGGTCTAGCTGAGAACCTTAGTTCTCTGATTCCCCAGTTATTTAGACTAGCTATTTTGGTTTTCTTATTGGTAAAACAAGGTAAGAATTCCTGTCTCAAGCTGTTGTGTGTATCAAGCACCACTGTCTCCTTAATTTCCCTAATTATTTGGTGTGAAGGTACCTTTTGTGTGTTCACAGAAGACTGTGATAATGGGTTAAAATCTACAGTTAACTATATCAACAGAAGATTTTAAAACTGCTTTACGTACTGTGTCCTTTATAGACTAACTGCCACCTTAACCTTTGTTTTCTGAAACTTCATAATTTTCAAAACCAAACATTAAAGCAGTCAAATAATGGTATGAGTACATAACTATGAAAGATATCAATGTGTCTGAACAAACAATAAAGAAAACATCCATAGGGAGAAAATATTTTCACAGGAAACATATCAATAGATAACTAATTTGAACATTAGATTATAACATCAGGAATGCTGTTTTTTAGGGAAAAAAATTATAGTAATCAAACAGTGCTCTAAAAATACTGTATAACTTTACCTACCTGCTTTTTTGAGAGATCTGCTCCAGTTTCTTGACTAATGAACAGCACTCTTCCTTTAACTTTATCAAAAATGTATTCTGGGAGGTCATCAGAGAATACTGCTCTTTTTCTAGAAATAACAACAACCCCATCAACATCAGATGTTTGTTGCTGTAGCTCTGCAATGCTTCCAAATGCAAAAAAAGTAGTGAAGTGTTTTAGATCACTACCTATTTCCTAGAAGCCACTAGATTACTTTCAGTGTCACAATTTAAAGGATCTGGTAAGACAGAATCTTGTGAGACATTTATTTTTATGATAAAATTATACAGCAGCAACATTTTTGATCATATCAGCTTGGTGCAACATTTTAGTTTAGCATGTTCATAAACTGTCAAATACCTCAAGCAGAGTCATAGATGCTTATATCTTTGTAATATGCAAGATATTATATTTTTATTTTGACAATTTTACTATAAACAGTGTCAAAAAATCTTACAACCAGATAATTCGAAACTAAAATCATCGAGGAATTTTCCTTTACACTGTAATTCATGCTTTATGTTTCACATTTGAGCAGTGTTTACCAGCACCTCCCCCGCTTCTCTAATTATGAAGATGGAATATACAATTTCCCCTAGAATTTGGAACTTATTGTCAATAATGTGTGCTCCAGTGGAGTTCTGGTCAAAGAAATTGAAGATGGTGGGGTGTGTGCGTGTGTGTGTGTGTGTGTGTGTGTGTGTGTGTGTGTGTGTGCACATGTGCACACATGTGCACAGATGCAAAATAAACGAAAGTGTTTATAAGGCGCATTGAACAGTTGAAAGCTCAGATTCTGCCTAAAACTCTTGATCACCAGGCTCTTGCTAGCATGGGGGCAAACAATAATTTACCCCTGTAATTCTCTCTTTGCTTTTAGTGTAAAAACATCTACTGAATCTGGTAAACTTTCATTTCTTCTGGCCAAATGCTGTGAGAAGAAAATCCCTACTGAAAGTACAAGAGGGAACTGTGAGTCATGGTATTTGCTTCTTTATAAGTAAATAGATTATTTAATGTATTTCATGTTAGGGATTTTTCACCTACGAAATGAGAAATTTTTTTACTGTGTCACCAAATACAATATACATTAAATACTGTGACCATTACCTCTCTAAGTATAAGGCTTAAATAGTCCCTTTATTCCTTTTCAATTTTACCTAATGATTGTCAAAAAGCACATAGCATACAAAGCAAAATAAATCAAGGCCCTAAAATTAAGCAACATTTTTCTGGAAGAGACAGGATCAATTAAACTTTTTTTTTAATAGTACAATCAGCATGAAGTATGTGGTGTGGAATTATAATGACTGACACTGTCTTGTTTTGACTAACACTGTCTGTGAACACACAACTCAAAAGTGAAAGGAAGTACATACTGCTCTGACTGAACAAATCAAACTGCCTATTTTCAAAGTGCATTTTACTTTCAAATTAAAGGTAAAGAGTTACTGGCCAACTCTGTCTGCAGAATAGTTGCCAATGTGATGAAAGATGGCAATTTTTAGCCAAGCTGCCAGCTGTGGTCAATGCCTTGTATTAGTGAATTTTAACAACAGTTGTGAGAACTTGAAGAATGCAAAGGATTAAACATCACTCTAGATTGGATTGGGGGAGGTGGGGAAATCATACAAATGCTAAAAATGTTCGAAGCTGCAAAGATTAAATAAAGGAACATATCAATTTGGAGCCACTGAATTACATCCAGCTGCGACAGTGAATTAAGAACCGATTAATGGCTAAAGCTTTTCTCCAGTTTGGATGCTGAAGCAAACTCATTAGGCTTTTAGAGTAGCTATAATGTGTGTACTGTGGGAACTGTTCAATGCTATTCAGGAGACTCTAACTGTAAGCTCAGAGCATTTCCCGCAGAGCTTCTGATGCTATTTTCTTTATATAACATGTGTGCCTGAAAACCCAGCCAAAAACAAGCCCTTTGTTTTTCTACTTTGTTGTGGTCTCTCTCAGCTTTACGTTTCTTGAACACAGGTAAATAAACTCATAATCCAGATGGTGCAACAGATGTGAGAGCAGCACTCTGAAATCAACAGACAGTGGGCAATACTTTCCATTTTCTCTTTTAAACGCTAACTAATATGTAATTCGGAATCTCCGGTGTAGTTAGCATCTGCTCCCTTCGGCCAGCCAAAGGTTACAGGTGTTCCTGATGTCATTTCACAGTAAGGCGTGGGCCCGGCTTGTGAGCGAGTGCCCAGGCTCTAATCTTTCCCTACCACCTACCAGTTTTGTCATGCTGGGCCTCCATTTGCTCTATCTTCTGTGTCAGCTCCTGCTCTCTTTGCTGGGCCTGAAGGGCTTGGGCCTTTGCTTCATTGCTAAGGCTCTGCTGAATGCTATCTTTTTCCAGTCTGCAAAACAGAGAGGAGACATACAGAAATGTAACCTGCAGATGCACAAACCTGCATCGTTTTCCCTATGGATCACAGAAAGCTGATGTTAGTAAATTGTTAAGCATAACAAGAGAACAATCTTTGCATGGATCTAACCTTCAACCCCAGGAGAGGAAAAATCCCAAGGACTTTTCTTACACTGTTAAATACATGCCCCAAGACCAAATGAAGTAAACAAAGTGGCTCAACATTTAAAAAATCAGAACAGGTAAACAGTGATATTTTATAATTTTAAAGCACACATACTGTTTTTTCTGTAATATTTCTTTCTGTTTTGTGCTACCAATTAATCTTTCATCTTCTAAATGGTCAATAAGATCCTGGAATTCTGTGAAGAGCGTGATTTAATTCCCAGTTTAAGTAAAACTTTCATTCTTAAAATTTAGGCTTCATGGGCCACTTCCAGAATTCCTCTGAAATTTAAAATGGAATCTCAAATGTAGTGTAGGACACTATCTAGAGGCCAGTGAATTAGACAGGGTCACATGCATATTTTCATTAAATACTTTCACACATTATGTGAATAGAAGAATGAAAATGTGTAACTTCCCTTAGCACTTCGTAAGAAAAATCTCTCCTGGGTCATATTGAAAAGCTTCTCTAGTCCAAGATAACACCCCATCCTACTGCAGCAGGACTCATTCCTTAGGCCATTATCCAACCCCAACGACTCCCAAAGACAGGACTTCCTAAGCAATTACAACACGAGCCATGCAAAAGACCTCCTTGTGGTAGCACCATGGGTACTTCCAGTGCATCTGTGCCACCCATGTGTACACATACATGTGCATGCACACATACACACACACACACGCACACACACGCGCACACACAAAGATGATTCTCCAGTAAGTGCTATGAAGGTTTCCTTCTATTAAATGACTTAAATTTTTTCTAACTCCTGATCTCCTTGTGGGCATTTCTCAACCATGCTGCTTTAGTTTACTAATTGAGATATTTACTGCCTAGCCTTTGCCAAACTAAAAATAAACAATTCCATAAAGCTATCACTACCAGTCTATGTACCGCTGTGGAACTTCAATTCACTGGTTTCTAATTATAAAGCAACATAAGGAAAGCCTGCATTGAAATTGGTCAATGCATGTGGTAACGTTGTAGTGTAAAATTCTAGAATGAAAATACACCCACACCTCACTCAAATGGAATCATCGGGGGTCCACACTAAATGTGAAAAAAGGTCCCTTCTGGTCGTTCTAACAACAACACCCCTTGGATGTGGGCCAAGGTCTCGTCTCACACTTAGTTCCAAACTAGTATATTGTAACAAATGGAGAGTCAGACGAGGATACTTTTTGCCTCCTCCACCACACCACTCATTTTCTGGCTATATGGATCACTGCACATGTTTCCTCCTCTCCTGGAATGCCCCCTGCCCATCACCCAATCCCCTGCATGATGGACACTATTTCTTTAGGGACTAGCTCCACAATCTTACCTTCTCTGGCCTCCATCTACTGAATTAACTATTCTTCCCTCCATGACCTCAATAATATGTTGTATACACTCTACAAGACAGCCTGATACTGCTTAGTTCTTGGTTTACTTGCCAGCTTCCTTTGGTCATCTTTGTCTCTTTCTGCCTTGAGCTCAGCTCAGCACTTTGCACACAGAAAGTGGGCACCGAATGTTGAGTGGCTGGATGTTCTTATACCCTTGCCATTAAAGGGGAGCAGCCTTTAAGTGAAACTACAGAATCTGCTCTTCTTATATGAAGGAGGCAAATCTTCTTCAGACATATTAGAAAAGAGTCCTGGTTAATGGCTTTGTCAGCTGGAGACTCTCCTGCTGAAGGAGGCAGTTTGCAGAGATCCACGGACTCTTGCTCAGTTGCCATGCCCAGGTCAGACCTCTGGTAGAGCAGGGGATACAGGTGGGAGTCTTGGGGCCCTGAGTTCCCTAATAATTGGGCGACCATAAAATGCAATATACATTCGAGTGAAAGGGAGGCATTATTAATAAGTATACGAAGAAAAGTCATAGCTGAGACTAACCATTGCAAATCAGGACTTTTAGTACCCCAACATAAAGAAGTGGCCAATCTTACTATCAATTTTTAGAATGAGAACTGTTATTCTAAATTGAATTCTGAGTTACACATCAACATCTCTCTCTCTCTCTTTTTTTTTAAAGTATTGTTGGGAATTGTACCCAGGGCCTTTGCACTGAGCTGTATTCTCAGTCCTTTCTTACTTTTTTATTTTGAGACAGGATCTCACTAAGTCACCAAGTCATTCAGACTGGGCTCGAACTTTGATCTTCCTACTTGAGCCACCATCCCAAGCTCAACTTGTGAACTTGTGTTTCTTGACTCCTTGCCCAACTTTAACTCTGTATAAAAGACCAGATTTGTTATTTATTGCTATTTTCCTTTCTCCTTTCTCTTCCCTCCTCTCTTGCCTCATCTCCTTGCAGATGCTGCATCTGTTGCATCTACCTTGACCTGGTAAGATTTTTATAAAGCCTCACAATGTTAGAAATCAAAGGGAATCTCAGACTTGTTTCATCAAATTGAGCTCTCACTTTACAGCTGAAAAACACCAGAGAGCCCACATTAAAATCCCTGAAGCCCATAAAGAACTGGAAGTCCACGCATAGGTTACAAAGTGAATAATTTAAATGTGAAGGTAGAATCAAAAATATTTTTACTCAGGAAAACCTATGTTGTAACACTATAGAGCAGTGGTAGCGAACTTACGGCATGTGTGTTGTTTTCTTTTAAGACAAAAGATGTTAATATGTGCGTTGTTTTTTTTCTCAACTACAAACTCAGTATACAGGTTGAATTGCAGTGTTAGCACTTTGTGATAAATAAATGGGTTTTGGATTGCAATTTGGGCACTCATCTCTAAAAGGTTAGCCACCATTGCTCTAGAAGAAGTAATAAAAACCACTTTGGTATCCAAGGGAAAAGACTAAAGAATTTACATCAATCCGTTAAATATTTATCATCATTCCATTATGTGAAAGACACTGCTAGGCACTGGGTCAAATAAATAAGAAACTCCCTCTTTGTAGGGAGTTCAAACTGGGAGGGAAAAGGTAGTTGTGGTCTTCATAAGAAAGTACAGGGAGAAAAACTACTAAAGCACAAAAGAATGATTCTAGCTGGGTATGGTTACCTTGTAAAAGAAAGCTAATCCCGTTCTCCCACCTGGCTTTCTTTCAATCTCACTCAAAACACTGATGCTCTTATTTAACCAACCTTGTAGATAGGCTTATTTTATAAATTGTAATAAAAAGCAATGGTGGTAAAGACATTTTTGATAGTTATTAAAATAGGGCTGAAGGACTTACTCACAATGACAAAAAATGGAAAAAAAACAAACCCAAAAACCTAAATGCCCATCACCTGCTAAATGGATAAACAGATTGTGGTACAGCCTTACAAAAAAGTGCTAGGAATACGAGCAATAAAAGGAACCAGCTGCTGTTACATACAACACCTAGATGAACCTCAAAAGCAATCTGCTTAAAGGAGCCAGACACCAAAGACATATTTTATGACTTCATTTGCATAACATTCTTGAAAAGTAAACACTAGAGTGACAGAAAAGATCAGTGTTGCCAGGTCCTGGAGGTAGGGGAGGGGCCTGGGGGAGTTTCTGCCTGATAAAAATGTTTGTGTCATGACTGTGATGGTTCCTCAACTGTACACATTTGTCAAAATATATGTAATGGCACAGTTAAAGTTTGTGATTTTTTTTTACTATATTTAAATTTACCTCATTTAAGCTGACTTTAAAAAGGAGCAAACATTCTAGCTTAGGAACATTCACCTTCACTTTTCAAGTTATCCACATCACCTGTAATCCATGCACCCACTGTCCACACTACTGTTTTCTCGACAGAAACTCCAGATTAAAAAGGAATGGACAAGTGCTGGCTAGGTCTCAGGCATATGCTAAGTCTACAATTACACGGTCTTTTTTTCCAGTTATAGTTTTAGCTGGCTGTATTTTCTAAAAAAAATGGGTGTAATAATCTGTACCATTCCCCTTTCCACATCATTTCAAATCTTGCCTTTTAAAAACTGTCCATGTCACAGAGCAAAAATTATTTGTAAAATAGTTTTTTAAAAAGTACATTCTTAATTTTATGGTCTGTTTGAGGAACTAAGAATTTCTGATGATCTTCAAGTTCAACAATAAACCTGGGACAGAAATGATGAACCCAGAGTCTGAGAACCAGGACATGGCAGTGGCAGTAACCGAGGCGCCCCCTCCCATCCGCCATGTCTCTGTCACGTGTTTGAAGTGGTAGGATTAGACATACAACCCTTTGGGTTAAAAGGTGTTCCCTGTGACAGTAGCACATTTGTGTCAGAAAACTTGTTAGGAGGGTGTGAGCATAGCTCAATGGTGAATCATTTACTTAGTATGTGCAAAGCTCTGGACTCAATGCCCAGCACCTTAAAGAAAAAACAAACAGCAAAACTTGTGAGAAGACTTATAACAAGCTTACTTGATGAAACCATTCTTGAAGGCAAACAGAGACATGTAATGTGAGGAACCCGTGGGGCTGTGATTTCAGACACACACTGTCCACATGTCCCAATGCCTGTGCCATTAACTTTGACCACATCATCAGTGGGATAGAAAGTATTTCATAACCAGCCTTAGGTGTGGGGAGAGAAATCTTTCATTTGTAGTGTTCAGCCATTTTCAGTGCAGATATTTCCACCACGGCCTGTTTTAAGCTACACAAAGTGACATCACCGAACGTCAAGCTGGGAAGAAACACATAGAATCAGCTTTTGTGAGCTGGTATGATCGAGTCCCACTACACCACAGCTTAGGTGAGCTCCCCCAGGATTCTCCCCTGTAAAGTTGCTGCTTTCCCCTCTGTAATTTTTTAGAAGATACCATGATTAGGCAAATGCTTTATTCCTCATCAAACTCCCTTTCTTTGTCAATGATTAACAGGCTCATATCATCATG